TTTCTGTCATAAATTACAATATACAGATTGAAATCTAAACAGCTGCATCCCAAAATCTCTTAGTCTTCAGTTTTAGCAGGACTGGCTGTTTTCCAATTAATGATTCTCCTTCTAACACCAAGTTAATGAACCCTGTGGGAACACACCTATGAAAGGACATGGATGGGAACCCTGCACTGTCATTCTGTGATTCAATGTTTGAAAAGAGCATCCTGATGGTCTAGCCAGTTTGGACAGACTCCTTGAAATACCAGCATCTCCATTCCCAAGTTTTCCTGGCTTTGGACATGGTTGTGATGATGGCTGCACAGTTGTTTCTTCTTCCACTCATTCACTATCACACCTGTGCCCTGCATTACGCCACAGCCTGCCTCTTTTTGTCTCACTCCAGAAAACAGGTACCTGATTCTCCTTGATCTTACAATGTTGTAAATCAGAAATCAGGCATCCCAAAGGTCTCCTGCACTCCTCTGTGCTGCTGAGAGACCTAGTCTGTAGAGTGGCAATATTTTCTGGCTTAGCTCATGCCTTTTCTGCAAATCCTACTAGGCAGGGGGCTAAAGACGCTTTTTGCCTGTGCCTGGAACAGGAATGTGGCTGAGATTCTCAGTGGTTATTTCAAGCAACACATGCTAATGACCAGCCATTCAACAGTACTGACCATTCACTGATCCTACATAGGGCCTCCAAGAATGTGTTAATCCAGACTGAGTAATTTAGGCTCAGCTTAGCTCTAGAGAAGTCCTGAACATGGCAGGTGCCTTGATGATGAAGACATTACATTACATGTGCATGAAATCCAGACATGCACCTGCAGAGGAAGATCCCACTGGTTATACACAAGGGGCTGGTGAGCTGTGGGGCTAGAGACCAGCCCCAAGGCTTTGCTCCTCTTCAGTCTTACCCTGATCTCTAGATTGGCTTCAGATGTGAAGCGTGAATATTACTTTCAGAAGTGTTATCATTAATTGTTCTGACACTAAGTAGTCTTAATAACCACATGGCTTTACAATCACTCATTAAACTTTAGTTCCTTGTCTTGCTGATGTCCTGCAGCAAGGAGCTCCACAGCCTAATTACATATCACATGGAAATGTATGCCCTAATCTCCATTGTAAATTGTCTTCCCTTCCAATTTCCTTGAAGGTCTTCATGTTCTCATATTAAGGAGTTGGTGTCCCAAAAGTCTAGAGGGAACTTTGGTGGGAAAGATAGTCTATTTTCAAGCATTTCTATCGAATGCTGAGCTAAGTCCAAGCCTGCAAGCAAAATAGTCCACAAACTGTTCTCTCTGATCCTCCTTATCCAACCAAATCTATCTGCACTGACTTTTCAAATCTCCATCCTTACAGCATCTTTCCTCAGAACAGAGAAATAGAGAAATGCAGACTGAAACTGATAGGTAAGAAAAGATGTACACACACTCTAGCTGACAATCTAACAAGCAATCCTTGAAACATACGGATTTCCAAATTATCTCAGTTTTATTTAAGAACGCTTTTCTATTTATTTTCAGCACAGCTAGCATAACTTCCGAGATCCCAAACTCCACAGTACTGCTAACTCCTTGTGACATGGGCAAACAGTTTATCCGCTGATGTGAAGGGACTTTTCACCCATGTTTTTTCCTGCTCATCTCCACAACTTGCTCTCAGCTTGGAATCATACCAAATACTGTGAAACATTTGTGAGAGCAGAGCTCATCTTCATTTCTTTCTCTTGCAGAATACTGTCAGAGATCCAGGAAAGCCGATAAAATTCTGCAAACACTTAGCATTACCCAAAACAGAAGAAAATACTCCAGCATTTTTCTTTCTTGCTTTCTCTCCAGAGCTTTGCCGTTCAATCCAGAGCCTCAGAATTTCCTGACACAACGGTGCCGGATGTTCTGTCATTGAAACCTTTGAAAATGCCAAGCAAGTCCACGAAAGGCAATGCCATTACCAAGTGCAGAGTTCAGTCTCTCAGCTTTCATGATGTTAAGCTCTCATTTTCAGTGAAAGCAATTGCCTTTTTCAGCTGCCAGACCTGAGAAGAGCTTGCTGGTCATGCCCTCAAATGGGAGCCCAGATGCTGTGATCCCCCGATCACCAGATCCACTCTTTCTTGTCTGCAACCCGCGTTTCTCTTGAGTAACATGCAAGGATCAGAACAGTTTCACAATAATGAGCTTTCCTCCTTCCTACAGTCCTCAGCACATTTTTAAATGAAAGAATCAGCTTACCCATAAGAGCCACAAACACACACACGAGGAGCTTAAGATATAAGCAATTCAGTAGCCTGAAGTATCATGCATATTGGGCAATCATAAATTTAAAGTGAAAATCCCTACTGATTTTGTTTTGCATTATATATTAAGTAAAACCTATTGCAAAGCCAGATTACTAAGAAACCTTTTTGGCTGTTGTTTTGGTTAGGTTTTTTTATATCGAAACAGGATTAAAACTTCTTTTGGAGACTCACTGTCATTTTATCTGGGTAAATAAGCTTAGAGTACCTAACAGTCAATTTATAATGATGGCTTTTGTTCTTGGTACTGTGATGCAGCCCCGCAAATTTGCCCACAGCTGCAGCAGTTTTAGATGGTTTTGACAGGTAAATAAAACACTGTTTATATCTGTCATTGTCATTAATCTACAGAGTAAAGAACTAGCAATTATATTTTGTTTCCAAGCAGATAAATTTTCATGATGATCTTGGCAGAGGTGGTAGAGAGTAATGTGCATCTATGACTTTTATAGTTGTGAAAGTCCAAAACATGAAGAGTCTTTGCTCAGCTGTTGAGTTGGAAAACAAATGGGAAACAAAGACTAAACCAGTAATAACCACCATAATAACAAAGAAAAGGAATTTGGGATTTAGCCCCACTGGATTTTTATTGACATAAGGGCCAAGTAAACCAAAGTACATGTCTTGACATCATCTGCACCAATTCAGCACTCAGTTATTCTGAAACATACTTCCAGGAATCTGTGTCAAGATCTGGGGATCTGGCTGTGCTTTAAAACCTCATGATTTGGGCCTCCATAATGTGCTTCCCAGCTGCTGCAGGGCAAAGGGTTTCAGATACTCCTCAAGCTATGCTGGTGAAGAAAAAATTATTTACAGAATAAGGTAAAGCTCAAGGACGAGTGGCAGAATCCAGCCATAAGTGTCTTATTATATTGGTCAGAAACTGTGAGAAGCAAAAAAAAAGAGAAATCCTGGTGAAACTCTATTGATGCCAGTCACGTCTGCCCAGCTTCTCACTCAGGTAGGCTGGCAGATGGTCAGCAAATAGTCTCACTTTTACAATGCAACCTACACTGGTTTTCAGTGTGAAAATTAGCATCCAATTATTTTCAAGCATTAATGTTCTCCAAGGAAGAGAACTACCTTTATTTTAATTCTGCTTAGGTTCTATTTGCTCTGACACGTAAGCCAATCTTGCAGGTGCTACGTCTCATGTACACAGGCAGAATGGTAAGCCAGGGAAGAGTACTAGAAATGTGGAATAATGTAAATTCCCAGGGAGTGAATTGCATGGCTTCCAACTTTTAGAAGAGACATGAAGAAGACAAATAAGTGAGAAAGGCATACGATATCTCCAAAAAAGAATCATTTTCCCCATCCCCATCTAAAATCCTATGATCAAAACTGTCTCACAGCATAAACCATTAGAGATGGCTACTGAGAACCGAGCTGTGACCTATGGGACCCTTGGTATGACACATCCAGCAGGGCTGTGGATATTGGGATGGGTTGGTGGCAGGCCCTGCTTCTCCCAAAGAAGAATGGAAGCCTATTCCGCACCTCCCAGCCCCCATCACCACCATCCTTGAACCAGCATAAGGGAAGGCACGATCACTGCATTACAGATGTAGGTAGCTCTGGGAAAGGCAGGATGTGTGCCAGAGCGTGGCCACTCTCAGATGAGAACTAGCTTTCCTTAGCATAGCACACAGGTCCGTGAAGGGGAAAGAAGACATGGGGCAAACCCCATTCAAGGTTTCAATGTATTACCTTACATGCCAGAATCTGTGCCCAAAATGGAAATAGTATCAGTATAGTCAAATCTCTTAACCCTTTCCCATGCAAAGATCCCCTATTAAGACAGTTAATGGGACTATCCCAAGTAGTAAAGGTTATCAGCATTTATGGGCTTGATCCCACAGAGGTCTGCAGCCTTCCTTGTCACCTGCAAGCCATGTCATGTTAGGTACAAATGTTGCTGGGTACATCACTATAAGGAAGTTGCCAGCCCGAAAATGCACGAGCTGCTTTTAATTGTCATTAAATATGGAGAATAATGCCCTAAGGTGGCATCTTATGTTCTAGCACAGTTGCATTTGTTTCATTCTCCTGTGTGGTATAGGGAAACTTCACTGGCCTAACCTCAGTCTGTTCCAACAAGCACCTCAAGGCTCAAGCTTCAACAGCTACAGTTGTAACCAGACGGTTTTCTCCTCCAGCTAGTGCACCTGGGAGCATGGGAGCAGTGGAGCACCTGCAGAGCTCCTACTAGCCGTCCCCTGGGAACCACTGAAGTGGAGCTGTCTCCTGCCACATGTCTTTGTAGAGACTGAAGCTGTATTTTTAAAAGCAAACAGCACATTAAACTCGTCCTTTGCATCACTTCTGGTATCATTGCAACTGGGCACCCACAAAGCAAGGAAAAGCCTCCCTTGCTGAGCTCCACTCTGCTTCAAGAAGGCGTCAGCGCGTCCCTCCCATGCCACAGCTGTACAGCTCTGAGGCTGGGCATGGGCTCCCGGGGCAGGACTGCCGGGCAGCAGAGAGGGATGGAGCAGGCGTCCACCCCACGCTTCCCGGGGAAACACTACCGAGGTGCAAAATCCTAAAGCCCAGGGCCTGGGCAGAAGGCAGAGGCTCCATGGCTTTCGGGTCCTGCTCCGGGCACCAGTGACATCCCTGCAAGCATCAGGCCCCACGTCCCGCAGGCTGGGGCATCGCTGCCATCGGTCCCCCCGCCCCGGCGCCCACCGCCCGCGGCCGCTCACCTGCTCGGGCCCCTGGAAGCAGATCCTGCAGAGCGGGGTGCGGATGCCGCTGTCGACGCTGCTGCCCAGCGAGTATCGGTCCTCGGCCTTGCCCTTGCCGAAGTCATCCGAGGAGGTGCTGCTGGGCAGGGAGGCGGGCGGCTCCCCGGCGGGGCTGCCCCACTCCTCGGCGGCCGGGCTGCCCGCGCCGCCGCCGCCGCCCGCCGCCGCCCGCCAGCCGGACCCGCGCCCCCCGGGCGGAGCGGCCCCCGCCGCCGCCTCTGCGCCGCCGGGCATGGGGAGCGGCGGCGGCGGGGAGGGCGGCGGCGGCGCGGGGGGTCTCCGCAGCAGGAAGACCTTCAGGTCATTGAAGAGCATGCGGCAGCGGCACTTGAGGAGGCCTTGGTTTCGCAACATCTGTCTCGGACGGAGGAGCCCGCAGCAGCAGTAGCAGAAAATGCCCGCGCCGGGTGGTATTAACATGTGCCTTTCCTTGGCAGGCGGGCACGGGGGGGAAAAGAAAAAGGGCAGGAGCCGGGCGCCCCGCGGCCGGGGGGCTCCGCGGCGGCCGCAGTGCCCGGGGGGGCTGCGCTGGTCGCCGGGGAAGGGACAAAAGCAGAGCCGGAGGGCGAGGGGGCGGAATCCCCGGCAGCCCGCTGCAACCCGGCGGGGATAGCCAGTGAAAGAAAAATCCACACCAGAAAAAAAACCGACTCTGTGCTGCTCGGGGACCCTTTGCTCCCCTCCACAAGTTTGCTTAGAAATCAGCGGGAGGAGGAGGAAATAAATCTCCCACGCCCGAGGGTCCAGGGGCGCAGGCAGCGGGCTCGGGAGAAAAGCCCCCGATCAGCTCTCGCAACTCTTAAGCCTTTAAAAAAGAAGGGTCCACGTCTCCAGTGGGTGTGGGGAGGAGGGAGAATATGGTTCTCTCGACAGTATTTGGCATCTCAAGTAATTTTCCTTTTTCTTCTATTTTGTAATTTTTTTTCAATTAAAAAATAAAACCTGATCACACGAATCCTGGTGTGAACCCAGACAAAATAGCAGCTGGTCTGGCTATCAAAATGCAAAATTGGTAGCTGTTGTTATTATCAAAATTGCTTCTTTGACAAAAAAGACCTTCACATTGTTTGTGGGAAAACACCCTACGTTTCCAACACTGTACTCCCAGGTGGCTTCAGATTTTACCGTTGCCTTTAAAAGATTTCATTGTAAATATTAAAAGTCCTGAAAGAAATAATTAGCATTCAATGAGCTTAATCCCAGAGGTACTGAGACAAATATATTTTTATATATATAATATATATATCATATATATTTTATATATATTTATATATTCTGACCTTCTCTATTCCAGCAGCTGTCTGGACCACACAAAAAAAAAAAAAAAATCAGAGCGAAATTGGTGAGGGAAGGCGGCTGTATTATTCCCTAAGCTGTTACCATCCTGGACCAAAAAACCCCGTCGAAATCGAATCTATTCTTCGCATGTAATTGACCGGGGAAACGTGGATCTTACATGGTCACGTTTCCTTTCCTCCTTTCACAAAACAGGAACGTCATCAAACGCATTGGCAGCTTGTACAGACCATTGTGGATGGCGAGGCGGCCAGGACTCTATCAGCAATTGCAGGAACCTCCTTTTGATGCATTGGACGAGGCTCCTTCTTTCTCTCCACCACCGTCCCCACCTTCATTTTCCTCCCCTTCTGTCCTCCTCCTCTGACTGTTGCTCTCTCTCACAGGCATTGACATTCAACCATCGCAAGTCTGTCGCACTCTCGCTGTCAGGAAAAAAAAAATCGGAGCAGATAATTCTCTTCTTCCTCCTAAAAGGCTAGGATAAAGCACAATGCGCCAGACACATGGGGCAGCATGGCTTATTTTTCGTGCGGCTCCTACCGCTTTGGCAACATCGAGCTGGTGTGTGCGTGTGTGCCTTCCTCTCTCAGCAGCAGCCTCCTCTCCGCTCTCCCATCCGGCTTGCCGTGATGATGTTGCTGTTGCTACCTCCCTTGGATGCAATGGGGAAGGCAGATTGTTTGCAGTGCGAGCGGGGATTTGCAGGAAGGGAGGGGTGTAACATGGAGAAACAATACTCCCTCCCCGACTCAAAAAAAAAAAAAAAAAAGAAAAAAAAGCAAAGAAGAAGCAAAAAGGCGGGGTGAGGGGGGGGAGAATCAAGGAATCGAGGGAGGAATGGGGCCCTTCCCAACCTTTGATGCCCCGGGCTGTCGGCTGCCTGCGAGAGCCCACGCCGGGGAGGAAGGGGAGGAGGGGCGGGGGAAGGGGCTGGGCGGGCGCTGCGGCTTCAGCACCACGGGGCGCGGACAGCTCCGCCGGGCGGGGCGCGGCGTCTCCGCGCTGCGCTGCGCCTCCGGCCCGCTCCCCGCCCGCCCCCCGCCCGCGGCGCCCCCGGAGTCCCGCACCGGCCCCGCCGAGCGCGGCACTGCGGGACGCGGCCCCGCCGCCTCGGGGGAGCCGGAAGGCAGCGAAGCCTCTGCGCCCCGGCGTGTTCCAGGCTGGTTTCCACCTCCCTCCGACCGCTGCGCGGACCTGTTAAACACGGGAACTTCCAGGGCCAGGTGGCAGCGGCCGCGCGTTCCGTGATGTATCGGGAAGCGGTGCCGGCTTTACAGGTTCCCAGCAGGAAGCCGAAATACCACCAACAAACTTTTCCCTGGCAGATTAATTAGTTACAGAGGATTTCATGGTCTAATAGCTATGATATTATTTTTTCATTTTACTCCAGCAGCGTTTACTCACTGATAATTTGGGGTTTTTTTCGGTAGCATATATTGCAGTAGAAATATGGGTTCCTTGTAGCCCAATGAAGGGTAAATATGACTGAACACTATTGCTTAATTAGAAGAGTTTTGCTGCAAGTAATGAATTGATGCCAAGGCCGATAATTTTTACTCTCTCAGCCTGCTTGAAAATTTTAAGTAGCAGCTGCTGAAGGCCATTAGCTTTTCCCTGCAATCATCAGCAGAAGAGGCTTTCTCCACATTGTCCTCCTATATATGTCCATGCAGACCCATCCAGCCTCTGAATACAAGGGGAAACTTAGGTCTTCACTGGGACTTCATATTTGCCATCCCAGGCAGAACAGTTGACAAAGGTGCTGGGTTTGATGTGGACCAAAAGTACTCAATGATAAAGAAGATCTGAAGGCTTCTAGTCCATGCAGTATGGCTAATGTCAGTGCAGTGTCTCAGCTCAGGGACCAGTGAACACTCTCCAGATGGGATGGACCTCTTGGTGCCCGGGTTTGACATCATGTCAACACCTTGAAACTTCAGGCTCCTTAATTTGGTTTCTCCATAGGATTTCCTTAAACTTCTGCTTCAGGAGGCCATAGCAGGTACCAATGCCCAGTCTGAGTTCTCTAGCTGGTCTTGTGCATGAGGTCTTCAATGGCAGTGACCTAAGCATTACCACTGATACATAATCTCATGTCTTAAAAGTTGTGCTGGGCCCTAGACAATGATTTGAAATTGTTTCCCATAGAAAAAGATGTGATATGCATAGACCACTGTGTCATGATTAGCAGAGGAATCTATGTTGTTACCTAATTAAAAAGGGAGCAAAACTGATTATTCACTACAGGACAATGAAAACAGCACATGCAATTAATTTCCAGGAAATAAATTACACATTGGGATGCTCTAAAACATTCATCAATGCAGCCTGCCATTCCTCAGAAAAACTGGGCAGATTTGCCAGTGTGTCTCTCTACAACATATTTAAAGCTTCTCAGAATTTCACACATGTCTAATGGGGTCATTAGAGAAATAATAATGGAAAGAGCTTTTTAGAGACTTCCTGAGCATGCGACAGGCTGGCTAGAGGCCAAGTCTCTCTGTCCATGCTCCCACTAACCACCTCATCCCTGCTTTTTATTACTCCCATCTTCTTGTCTTGATGTCACTAACGTTTTCAGAATGGTTCCATCAACAAGAGAATTGGAAAAAAATATATTGTTGTCATCCTTTTCTTGTGTAAAGTATCTTCCATCCTTCCCTCCTGCCCATGCTTGGTTTTACAAAAAGGATATGCTCAGAGTAGAAGAGATCTTTGTGTTACACTCTGGGTTTTAATGTATGGGTTGTGTGCCCAGACAGCCGAATGGCTGATAAGTGTGACAAAATAAATAAAACAAATAATAAAACAGGGGTGCTCCATATGCTTCCCAGAGGTGAGTGGGTACTATTATTCCTGCTTCAGTAAATGGGCCAGCTGCCAATGTTTTCACACTTGGATGCAGCATTCAGGTCCCTTGGTATGGATCAAGGCACCTTGCTTAAAATGCTCTCACTGGAAGGAGCTGGCCCTAGACACTTTGGCAACGTCCCAGTGAGAGTCAGGGGCTGTCAGGAGGCCAATGCAGCCTTCCTAAATTTGCTCCACAAGAAGCAATGTGCAGCAAATAATGGGCAACACCTCCTTTTGCAGAAGGGCCTGTTTCTGGGAGTTTTGATGCTGTGTCTCTTGACCCCACTAACAGGCAAGAGGTTAACACAGGAAAGAAACGTACACGAGACATCATCTCTGACACTACCTCTGTCCTCCTCAGGTACAGAAAAAGGAACAAAAAGACATAGATTGATCAGCGAAGAGTGGAGAACTGGTTCCTCTTGGTTGGTTACATTCAAGCTAGTGACTGAGAAATCAGAAGGGGAGATGCCCAGGCATCTCAGCACAGACCTACAGGCCTGTTTGTTTTGGAAGGATTCAGGTGTCAGGCTGCAGGTTGGTCTCACAGCAGACATTCTAATGCCGCTTTCTAGAGCAGAGTGTGGGCCCACTGGCCCTCAGCTACCGCCTCAACAAGGAGGAAAAAACCTCTCTGTACAAGTCATCACTCAGAGCAGAGGGAGTGGAGGAAGGAAGAAAGAGGGTGGCTAGAGCTGCAGCAACACTTGATCCGCCTATGTGGCAGCCTGATATAAAATCATATCAGCTATTTTTTTTTTATTTTAATGTTGTTAGGTCACGGATTTAAAAAAATGGCAGAGATAGTGAGAGGGCAAATGCAAGCAGGAAAGCACTGTGTGGACTGCAGCAGAACAGCTTGAACACAGCATACTGCTCATTGTGCACAAGTATGTGATAGACAGACAATATAAATGCTGATTTGGACAGTGAGGACCAGGGAGTCAGAAAGCTGCCAGAGAAACATTCCTTTGTGTTTTCCATCTCTCAGGAAGTAAACAGTTACCTAAACCCATTTTCTTGCCCACCTACTCGGTCAATAGCTGCACTGCGCCTCCTGCTCCACTTACAGCTCCTTAATGGTGCAGAGGAGCTTTGATTGCCGTGGCGTGGGCCCTATCCCTCTGGCAAACCATTACTTAAATCCAACACATCGAAGGTTCCTACCGCTCTCTCACTGATGGGGAGCTGCTCATCAGCTG